ATCATCTCGGTTTAACTTCAACTTGTAAATTCACACAGAATTTCAACAAGTGTTAAATATCATCTCGGTTTAACTTCAACTTGTAAATTCCCACAAAATTTCAACAAGTGTTAAACACCATCTCGGTTTAACTTCAACTTGTAGATTCACACAGAATTTCAACAAGTGTTAAATATCATCTCGGTTTAAGTTCAACTTGTAAATTTACACAGAATTTCAACAAGTGTTAAATATGACCTTCGTTTAACTTCAACTTATAAATTCATACAAAATTTCAACAAGTGGTAAACAATGATTTCGGTTTAAGACTTGTAAATTGTCCACAAATTTCAACAAGTGTTAAACAATGATTTTGGTTTAACTTAACTTGTAAATTGTACACAAATTTCAACAAGTGTTAAATAATGATTTTGGTTTAACTTAACTTGTAAATTCACATAGAATTTTAACAAGTGGTAAACATATTCTTCTTCTCTCTGCCCCCTGCATGACTTCTACATACTCCTTTGCGAACCTTATAAAAGGTCTTCAACCTGGCTAACTGCAGTCCAAACTTGCGTGTTTTCTTTTTTTATCTTCTGGGATCTGAGATCTGCTCACTGAGTTCTTCTCTTCTCGGACTTAAGTGCCGAGATCTTGTCTGCTAGAATCTTGGATCTGCTCACTCAGGTTCAGCTCTTATCTTCTCGGACCTACTCATCTAGGCCGAGATCATGTCTTCTAGGATCTGAGATCCAGGGTCTGGAATCCGAGATCTGCTCACTTAAGATGAGTTCTTCTATACTTGAATGTTATCTCCTTGGGAGCGCTCATGCCCCCTGTCTTTGCATCCCTTCTGGAAGGGTCTTCGTTCCTCCGCAGGTTTCTATCCTTCCACACCTGGAGGTCATCTTTGTTGTAGTATCCGCTTCGATCTATTGTTTTTGGTGCGTCACCTTTCTGGCCGACGTCTTTCACTCCGTGACTCTGGTCACGAGTTTCTGTGTTGCGGTCGTTCCCTTCAACGTCGAGGTTGATAGGTCTCCTACTCCCAGCAGGAGTGTTGTCTCCAATCTGATCCTTCTGTTTGTCATTGGCCATCTATTCTTTTTTCTTTCATTGGCCATCTATTCTTCTTTCTTTCCCACAGACGGCGCCAAATTGTGTGGGTGATTTTCTGACCACACTGCAAGCTTAGTATCTAGCTAGAGAGCACCGGCAGAATAGATGGCACCTGACTAACCTGCAACAGAAAGAGAAGACTCCGGCGGTGGTTCGTCCACCCAGGGGCACTCCGACAATCAAGTCAGTATATCTCTCAAAGATAAATGAAGTGCTAAACTCACAAGCTTGAGTATCAAAAGCATACCTTAGACCCATGGGGGTGCCTCTCTTGTATAGCCAACATAAACCTAGTCTCAATAGAAGCCTAACTTCTATGGACTCAGGATTACTGCTAATCTTGGACTCCCAGTAAGATTAGGATAAACTCTCTAAGAGTCTTATCTTAATACAAACTGAAGTCTTCTCTCATTCTAGCCAGTTCGCTTTGGCGTCTAGGTGTGTGGGTTGGGTCCCAGGCTGTCTTGTTTGATGGTGGGGTGTCACCAGCGCTGGGTGTCTATCCTGGGTGCTAGTTCTGTTTCAGAGAAGGCCTAGTTGTTCTTCACTGGGTGACGGGTTTTTCGGCGGATCTATGGTGTGTTCTCTTCTCCGGTGATAACTGTTTTTTTTTTTTTTCCCGAGGAGGTGATGCTACGGGTCTGGTTGTTGTTGGTTTTGGTTTCCCAGCTACATTTGTTATCCAGTTTCGGTTTAGCCGCCGTCGTCAGGGATGAGGTGTAAGCTGGGCGTGACAGTCAGTCTGATGGACTTTTTTGGTTTTAGCGTCAGAGGTATGTCACCAGTGCTGGGTTGTTATCTTCAAGCTCCGTCGGTGTCGTTCTCTTTGAAAATAATTTGGTGCAGATGTGTACAGTCCACGTTTTTGTGTACTGGGTTTTGGGTACTTGTTCTGCTGCCGAGGTGCGGTGTGCGCCATTGAGGCAGAGTGGACGTGGACTAATGTGTGTCCTGATGATTTTGCCGGTGGTTCGTGGTTCACTATGCTAGCCATGGTGGACTCTCATCTGTATGGTGTGCCGCGTTGTATTGGATTGTTTCTAGCTCAATCTTCCCACCTACGCTAGACAGGTTGATTGAAAGCTGATGATGTTGCTTACATTGGTAAGTGGAGCAACGTGGGTGGTGGACAGTTGGCCCATTGTTTTGGTTAAAACTAGTTTTGTTTCTAGCTGGTGCGTTGATATATATGCATGTTTGTTGTATATGCATATGTGTTGTTAGAGCACGTGGGTGGGGCCCTTTTTTTTTTTTTTTTTTTTTTTTACAGGGGGCATTAGCTACGGCTGCATCATTTTGCTTAATTTCATGGACAATTAGGCACCGAGGACCAACCTATCCCTCCATGTTCAACCCCTTGGCCCTCATTTTTATAGCTATAGCCGAAACTCTCTTTCTTGATGAACCCATCACTGTCGGAAGGTAACTACTAAAGTCAACAATTTTTACCTGATATTATACCAACTCGAATAAAGTGACTAATTCAACAATCAAAATCTTTATGAAATCAAAGCCATTTTTCAATAATTGTGTAAACTCATTCTCCGTAATTTACGACATGATTGCAGCTTGTTAGGAATGTTGTTGATCGTATCAGGTCTGTACTCGTTCTTGTGGGGAAAGAACAAGGAATCAAAAATCATGGTTTTACCAAAAGCAATATTCGATGAAACATCACTAGTAGTTGTTGTTCCTGATCAATCTGTAGTGAAGCAATCGACAGGTGTAGTAATGCCAAGTGCTTCTACCAGTATCAGCACCATTGATGCCGAAGATGGTGCTGACCCAAACCACGGGGAAGTACATGGAGTATAGTTAGTCGTGTGATATAGTCGACCTATTCGTTCCAAGTTATGATAAGTTTTTTGTGGTGATTTTTTAAATTTGTCAATAATTAGTAACTTTTTTGTTGATGAATTTTTTAACTGTCGCTAAAAATTAATAATTAGTGACACTTTTTTTTTATTTATAAAAATGCCTCTAACAAATAAAAAATAAGATTTTTTAGTAACAATTAATAGTGAATTCGACTTCTTGATGCATCAAAAAGTTAAGAAATTTATTGTGATCGATACTGATACAAATCATTTGGCTAAAACTAAAAGGCCAACCTATTTTTTGGACTTTTTTTTTTTATATTTTTGCAATTTTTTTAGCTTTTGAGTTATATATATTTTTAAAACATTTTTGGTCGGTCTAAAAGGAGGGGGGGGGGGCGTAATTTTGAAGAAAAAAAATCACTAAATACTAAAACAAGTCAATTTTTTTTATCAAAAAAAGAAAAAAAAAAACTTAGAAAATTGGTTTATTTTTATTTTTTCAAGACTTTTTATTATTATTTATCGATTGTTAAAAATGTTTACTATCACCTAGTCGAGAAAAATTTAGGATAAATTACCAATAGATCCTAAGGGTTGGATTTAATTCTCATTAAGTCCTATTGAAAGTTAGTCATAGCAAAATCGTTGCTAAAAATAATTTTTTGTGACTTTTTCTGCATGTCGCTAAAAATTAAAAATTAACAATTAGTGACTTTTTTTGTCACGATTATTGTAAATTATCACTAAAACTTATAAGTAATGACTTTTTATGTGATGATTTTTTCAAATTGTGGCAGAAAATTAAAAATTTGTGACTTTTTTGTGACAGATTTTTTAAACTATCAGTAAAAATTAACAATTAATGATATTTTTTAATAGTATTTGATGAAAAATGTCATTAATTATTACATGATCTATTGGATAATAAGTTTATCTATTAAGACATATGCGTAAGTCCCAAAAAAATTTAACAAGTAAATAAATTTGACATAATTTAAAGGGTAAATTATACAAATAGTCTCTGTGGTTTATACGATATGTCAATTTGGTCCATGTTGTTTCAATTTGCTTGATTTTGCCCCTTAATTTAACGGATTGCATCATTTTAGTCCAATAAATAACGGTTGTTAAGTTTGGTGGACGAAAAATCAAACTATGTGTCAATTTGATCCATATAGTTTACACAATGTGTCAATTTGATCCTTGTTAAAATCGAGCAAATTAAAACAATAAAGACCAAATTGACACATTGTGTAGACTTTCTGTTCACCAAACTTAACAACCGTTATTTATTGGACTAAAATGGCAGAATATGTTAAATTAAGAGGCAAAATCGAGCAAATTCAAATAAAAAGGATCAAATTGATACATCGTATAAATTATAAGCACCATTTATATAATTTACTCAAATTTAAAAAATAATAATTTAGTTAAAAAAAAAAGTCACCTCCCAAAAAAACAAAATTATTTCACAAAATTTTTTGCTATGATCTCCATATTCTCGAGAATCGTCAGGACAATGTTTTTTTGAAGAGTCTGGATCCTCTAGGCGATTCTCTGAAACCTTGGTTGAATAACAAATTCAAAAATAAATAAATAAATTGCTATGGTGTCTCAGAGACAGAGAGAGAGAGAGAGAGAGCCATGTGCTCCTGTTTTGCAAGTATATCAGCAAATAAGCAAAAGGAAAGAAATTAAAAATGAACTCCAACATACCAGAAGTTAAAGAAAACACATACATAGAACAAGAAAAGCTGATTACAAATCACTCCATTTTGAGTTCAAGAAAATGCCATAAAATTTAATCGATCTGTTCGACAAACAAAATATCACCAACACACAAACTGAGAAAAGCATCTTCAATGAACTCATGAACTTCAGCTGGGTTGACAGCAATGTAACAGCAAACCAAGTCCTCCATCTCTTTCCAATCTTGAACTCCCGCACTCCGAATTATCTCTAGAATCGACTCTCTTATGTCCGAAAAAGGGTCAGTCGAGTACTTAACTAAGCAAATACTATCAGCAAAAGAACCAGAAATCTCGTCAGGCAACGCAGCTGAGAAGCTAATTCTAGTACTCCACTTCTCCAAATTCTTCTTCTTCTTTGTCTTCCTCTTCTCGTTGTGATCGGGTTGTTGATCAGAAAGCTCCATAGCTTCTTCAAGAAATGCTAAATCTTTGAAGATTCACAAGATTTGGAGAGTTTTAAATGTCGAAGGAGTTGGGCTGGGATAAATTTTTGGAGTATAAACGTGGGATGTCGTCTGGACCATTATGTCGTCTCTCTCAAGAATTTTATGGTGGTTGTGTCCAATCAATAGCAAGAGTTTAATTGAATATATAGCTTAATAATAAAGAAATGACAGACAAAGGACAACATAACGTTGGTTGGGTACATAAACACGTAATTTTCGTGACCTATTAGATAATTTTTTGTGGAGGAGGAGGTAGATGGAAATGCAGGGAGTGATGAGAGCCAATAAAGTCAATTGAAAGCCACCCATTAAAGTTGTTGCCCTGCCTTCTTGTGACAACATTCATGTACTCCATGAAAATGAAAATTCATGTTCAATGGTCCTTTTTATGCCTACAGCTTCTATCCAATCCTCTTAAGAGAATTGGACAGTTCAGTTCGGACATGTGGCAGTCTATTAAACGGATTTTATTTTAATAATTCAATTTATTATATTATTTATTGATAAGTGAAAAAAGATTGATCTAATCTGATCATTGTAATCACATTTACCTTTAAAAAAAATAATTTGTTTATAAAATTATAGTTATCATCTATTTTGTTGCAAATAAATGTAAAAAAACCATATTCTTGTAATTATTTAATCAATTTGATTTTTTGTGAATATTCTATCTATATTGAAACTTAAACGAGTTACAATTTAAATTATCAAAATAAGGCCCATGGTAGGCTGATGAACCCGAATTGGGCCGTTCACAAGCTCAGTCATTTTATGACAAAAAAATAAAAATAAAACCAACTAACAAATTAGCATGCAAAGGATTAACAACAAATAATTTTAATCATAAATAATGAAATTACGATGACTTAGCTCTATCGACACTATATTCCTTCATTATAAATCTCAGAATCCAAAAATAATCCAATATATACAAAGATTATAAGAGATGTAAACTCGATCAAAATAAACCCAAATACAAATATCATATCGAACTACATAGATGGAACCACACTGTTAGTAGTATTTTTAAAATGTGTGAATTACAAAAATATCACATTATTTTATATGAATTTTTATGTAATCACTACAGGAAATTCGTTTTTTAGCGGCGTTTTTAAAACGCCGCGAAAAGCCTAAAAAACGCTGTAATATCTTATAGCGACGTTTAATATTTTCGTCGCGGATACGGCCGCTGTAATAGCTTTCCAACGTTTAAAAAACGTCGCTAAAAATATTAGATGGCGTTTTTTAAAACGCCGTAAAATCTTTAACATCCGTCCCACCTTCCGTCTCAAATTAACTTGTGATGTTACAATGACGTCATTTAGTGGCATTTTTTTCAAAACGCCACCTTTTTTTTTATTATAAATATTATTTGCCCCCTGCTGCTGTTGCTGCTGCTTTTTTAAAATGTGTGAATTACAAAAATATCACATTATTTTATATGAATTTTTATGTAATCACTACAGGAAATTCGTTTTTTAGCGGCGTTTTTAAAACGCCGCGAAAAGCCTAAAAAACGCTGTAATATCTTATAGCGACGTTTAATATTTTCGTCGCGGATACGGCCGCTGTAATAGCTTTCCAACGTTTAAAAAACGTCGCTAAAAATATTAGATGGCGTTTTTTAAAACGCCGTAAAATCTTTAACATCCGTCCCACCTTCCGTCTCAAATTAACTTGTGATGTTACAATGACATCATTTAGTGGCGTTTTGAAAAAAACGCCACCTTTTTTTTTTATTATAAATATTATTTGCCCCCCTGCTGCTGTTGCTGCTGCTGGTGGTGGAAATTAATGTGTACAATGACGTCATTTTAGTGGCGTTTTTCCTTTTTTTTTTTTGGGTTGGGGGCCTAATATTTCTCTGTGCTGCTGCTGCTAAACTGGCTTCACAATTTGGGATCTCATGTTTGCTCTATGCAACCCTATTGCTAGATTTATAAGCAACTAGGAACCCAAAATTTTCATTTCTTTGCCTTTTTTCTGGTCATCTGCATTGACCAACCAGTTCAAAAAGTTGGGCTAAAATCCAACCAGTGAAATTTGTGCTTAAGCAATGTATAAAGCTAGTGATCATGTGTCTCTTGGCACTTCTTCAATTCAATTATCAATACAAACATCTAGTAGGCAAACATCAAAAAAACAAGTCAAATTCACTACAACAGTGATATCATTAGTTAGTCAAGACCATGATTGTACAATGCATTATATATGGACTCAAGTTCAGAAGAAATCCTTAAGTAGAGCATTATATATGGACTCAAGTTCAGATCTGCAACCATCAAATTCTTCAATCTTTTTCCACTTCTTTCTCAAAGAATCTCCAGCTTCCTTCCTTGGCCCAAACCTCAGACATCAATGTATTCAAGCTAGCCCTCAATCCAGCAACTTCTCTTTCCTTGGCCCAACCCTCCAACTACACAAAGATACAAAGGAACTGTTAAGAACAAGCTCTTGCTGGTCAACTTCCAATTCAAATTGTAGATTAAGCTTGAAAGGATGAAATTGGAGATGGAAATAACTGATGCAGTAGACTTTTCCAAGCTAGTCAATAGGTTCATAATTAAAAAAATAAAACAATTTTCTCTGGTAACTAAAGTTATTGCCATTTTAGAATGCCTACGCCTTAGGGAGCAATGGCAGGACAGGAAACCTCGACATAGGATGCCCTTGTTGCACCCTGGGACTCTTTAATGTTCAGGGACAGAATTGGATGAAGAATGATCTATTTTCAACTATTATTGAGAGACATCATAGACATAATTCAACACCAATTCAACTATTTGACAGAGACCAAGACCATATTATTCATTAAATCAAAAGCAGAATATTAAAAAAAAAAAAACAGCGTTTTCGCACACACACATTGATTTTTTTAATTACAAAAGTACCTTAAAGGTGCCAACCCTGTACATTAAAAAATCCATACAATTACATGTCAAACAAAATATTTCTTCTTATCCATGTCAAGAACATATGGAGAGAACCTGGCCATCAAATTCAAAGATCATCGTGTGCAACAATACATGTAGTACAACACAATAGATAATTGCATACAGGCATACACATGGGAATTCACTTTGTTCTAAAAGTTAGACCACTTAAAGGGAGCAAAAACAATAATAAATAAACTTGCAAACATAGTTTTTTACATATAAGTGGATAGTCATATCAAAACTTTTGATTACTGTAACATCAAGAAACCACGTGGCTCCATGGAACCCTAAACTGAAATATATAAATAGAGTAGAGATTAAAAGTAGGTGATTATGCTACCTTTGCACAAGAGAAAAATAAATTCTTGATAGAGCTATTAAGTATTACCTGCCCATATTTATCCCAAGAAATGTCTCCAGCTTGTCTATGAATTGCAACAATTTAAGTCTTGCCAAACGAAATTCCCAAATTTGACTATTTTCATCAACTTCGGTTTCAGAGAATCTATACTGGTTTGTGAGGCGGAGACCACGTGCAATTGAAGCCCTCACTGCATCTTCTGTTGGTCTAACTCCATCCACACATTCGGAAAGCACAAAAGCTTGATCCTTGATAACTGAAAGAAATATTTTTATTTCATTTATTCCTCGGGCAAAGCACAACCACTGTGACTTTAGCACTTCATCTTTATCAAATCTATGATGATTAGCAAACTCCAGAGTGGCCTGATACTCTTGATCACTAATTAATATGTCATACATTTCAGAAACAAACCTCTTTGAGAACGATATCAAGCTCCAGCACAGTTTAGCAACGTCAAATTGATTATACTCATCTTCAGTGACCAGATCCACATGTTGCAAGTCAGTTGCAGCCTTCTTATTGGATGAATCATGGCTCTCCTCAGATGATGTACTTTCTAAAAGAAGCAAGTTCCCTGGGAACTATTGTACTCTTTCCAAGATAGGTATAGAGTATAAAGGATCTTTCTCCAGTAGTTTAATACCACTAAGAATGTCAATCATGGTGGCAATGCCACTTCTTTTTACAAGAACAAGGATATAATCAGACCACCAAGTAAAATCCACTACATCATTCAATGATTCCCTCCCCCTAGTTGACATATTACTAGCCACTTGTGTGTCAAATGTGTCTCCACAAGAAAGATTTGAAAGAGAAAATTGTTCATTATCCAGCTTAAAAATGACCAAGCATCCTCTCAAATCGAGAGTGGCAACAAACTTACCCTGTGGTGAGATTATCACCTTGGGGTATGTCAATCGCCCTACATAACCTTTGGGTTTGGAATATAAGCCTTCAAACTGCGTAGAAAACCCTGGCTCCAAGCCTAGGTTCTTGGTTCGATGCCAAAGAGAAAGGCTGTAGGTTCCTGGGAAAAAAAATTGAACAACTGTTTAATAGCTTTATAGAGATATCTTTTTTTGACGAAACAATCATTGTGTATTTAAAAAAAACAGGCTTTAGCTTTCTAATAATATGTAACCATCCTCCTCTTCATGTGTTTCTATACCAGATTGAATATCTAAAGAAAAATTTCCACTAAAATGAAGAAAAAAAAAATAGTTGAACATTTAGGAACTGAGCCCAAGACCTGAAACACAGATCTAAAAGTCTGCATCCAATTCATATGCATAGAACTTCGGACCCCAGCACTGATATTGAGGACAACCTAATGACTGAACTGATATTGACGCACTTTCTGGAAGTAATTTACCTATTTAAAAGAAAAGCAAAATCAATGATCAGAAGATATTTGATCATTTTGTGATGTTACTAAATAGAAATTGTTGGTGGGACCATTTATTTTCTGGTTCTGAACTAGTAATTGCATCTATACAGGATATGATTTCAGTAAGATAGTGGTCCATCCAAGTTCAAGACTTCCAAAAAAGAAGATTGTTGTAAAGTCATGCTAGAGAAAGAAAACAAAAATGAATAAAGTGAAAAAGGGTACCAGTGTTACCACTAGAGGTCACTGGAGCACTAACAGCACCACCAACTATTGTAAGCAAAGAAGTTTCCGGATGGTAATTCAAGAAGAAGATATTCTCCAGGAACTCCTTTAAAGTTGAGTTGTTATTTGATGTGTGTGCAAAGAAAACAGACGCACTTGGATCCTGACTGATCTCAACTTCATGAAGAGAACCATCTGATGTAAGAACATCAAAGCTACACCTGTAAAAGGATTCTATCTACTCAAAAAGGAGCTGTTTAAGAATTAATTAAACTAAGATATGAAAATAAATATTTATAAACAAAAACTTTTAGCGCAACATATTTTTATGCAGGGGCTACTGACAGTCATATGAAAACTTACAAGCAAGATTTGTTCATATCAGAGCTATCGTGCACTATCAAGCCCATTATTGGTAAAGACACTTTTAAATGTTTTTTTTGTGATTCTGGTTATCTCTTCACCATTCGCTTTTATAAAATAAAGTATATTGGTATCATCCACAACTCCAAGAACATCATGAGATTTCGACCAAATTCCGAAAGTAAATGAGCCAAGGCTGATACCTGATTGCACAAAACAGAAGCTACAATCAGTGTCACAGATGAATGAAATGTAGAGGACCATGAAACAAGCACTGATATTCAATTGACATGTGTGTTCATCTTTAAACAATTTGGTTTCTAACAGGGCTATATCAAAAGGTGATTGAAATTTCCAGACCTAATGAGCACAATCAAAAGCATGTGAAAAAAAGAGTAATAGCATATAGGTCAAAGCTATTTTTATAGGCAAAGGAAGAAAATTTTAGAGATGAAGATAAACCTCAATTATTATTTTGATGACATTTACTAAACATATGATTAGTCTTCAGAGAGATGGCATGGTATGCTTTGAAAAGTAGGGACTAGGGACTAGGGAGGACGACACTAAATGTTGTTTGTTTATAGATAAAGCAGACCAAGGGAAGGTAAATGGTAATTGGTAAGCTAAAAATAAATGCTATAAAATGACAACACACCACATGCACGAGTGCACACATAGACAAGAGACAGACTTCAGATATTTAGAGTCATGTTCTTGTACCTAATGCAGCGCTTGTGTTAGAGTAGTTTTAAAATCAGTGTCCTCTATCTTTCCTTGAAAAAAAAAATTGATCTATTGACACTTCATTTGGTGATCTGACAATTATTCGCAATATAGTTTTGTGATGCCTTAAATCTTAGTCAATATCATAAGATATTACTGCAATTTAATCCTGGATACATAAACATACCGGTTTTTCATTATCATTTTATGGTAGTCCTGGTATCCTGGGTAGAATTTTATTAGTAGTGGATTCATACAAGTGTAACACTCTTACAGTTCACCAAATATATGAGTTGTTTGACACAACTACTCAGCGTATCTAATGGATAAGATGTAAATTAATTATGATCTAAAAAGCAGAATATTACTGGATAAGATGTAATAAAACACCAAAAAAAAAAAAAAAAAAACAAAACTCTTTTAAGCCAGTGTAATGGTAAACATAACAGCTGTAAATAACGAAAGAGGCAATGTGAGTGAGAAATTTAAATCAATGACAACCACAAAACCAGAAGTAGAAACACACTTCTAATTAGGTACAACTTACAAACATAATGAGAAGCCCACTCAATAATCTATAATCAGGTTACAGGTATATAAGCTATTACAAAGATCTCAGTAAAGAGCAAAGTTTGAAAGGAACAGAATTTACCTAGCATTGAATATAATGGGTGGAAGAAGATATATAAACAAAAGATCTTCACTGAAGACTAAAACATGTGAGCTTCTTCCCCCACTTGTAAGCAAGATCACAGACCCAGTACACAGACCCTGTCATCAACCACATTACAAATTACATTATTGAATATTTTAAAAGAACGAACGTACGAATGCTGATAGATATCATCAAGAATTTAGCTTCACGTATAATTCCTTTTTTTAGCTATACAATAAGTTACGATATCATCAAAAAAATTTCACTAAACACGAAAATAACCCAAACTTTAATAAACAATGTTTCATGCTAATCCATCAAAGATGAAGATTCTCTAATGAAGATGCTAATGAAAATTATAAGCACAAAAAATATAGACCAAGCCCACTTACCAAACACATAATCAATTGCAAACATCCAAATACTCTCATACATTGTCATTCTGAGATGATGAGACCATCTATAGTATGAGCTATCTAATCCCAAACTGTCTTGCAAATTAGAGAGTTAATTGATTTGAAAAACAAACAAAGTAATGAAAAACAAACAAAACAACCAGCAGATTTGATAGATCAGGTTCAACAATCTGATCTAATCTAATCTAAGAATGAAAAAATTAGAGAGTTAATCAGCAGATTTGACAATGAGAAAGTAGAGCAACAGAGATCGATCTGGTTCAAACTCGAACACCGATCGATCTGGTTCGAGAATGATATCGATTTTGCATCTACAATTTGATGAAGAACAGATCGAGTTTGAGTTCGAGTTCGATGAAAAGACTGATCAAAGCTCTCCAGCAACAGATCGATGAAAAGCAACAGAGATCGAGAGTTCAACGAATATACAATGCCAAATCAGCAACCAAGCGAGCGAGAGAGAGAGTGTGTGTGTGTCTTTGATCTGGTTCGATGAATATTAGTCGAGGGCTTTGGAAGAGAGAGAACGAGAGAGAAAGAGACTGAGCTATGGAAGAGACACATAGAAAGTGAGAGACGGAGTATGGACGGTGTCAATATATACACCCAATACGACGCCGTTCAACTGAGCTTAAAGACAACGTTTTGAAAACGTTGTCTTTCATTCATCTATAATGGCGTTTCCCAAAATGCCATAAAAAAAACATTGCAGTAGGCCATTTTTCATGTAGTGAATAATGCTTGTTTGTACAACAACATTACTCAAAACTTGTATGTAATAATCTGAACATGTCCTCTAGATGGTTGGGATATTTCATGTTCTGTCCCTTTTGGCTCGTCAAGAAGAGTCTTGAATTGATCTTTGGGTTCAAAGAATATAATAAAACAAAAATGAAGAGAAACAAAACGTTAAAAGAATAAAGCAAAATAAAATATTTGTTTAAATGCTCTGCTTCTTTTGCAGGTACCATGGGACGAGATTGGCAATCAATTCCTCTCCCTCTTTGTTTTTCTCTGGGTGCTTCCAAATACACATTTAATTTCTCTTTATATATATATATATTGACACTAAGAACATAAAATAAAAATATATAATGTATCATAAAAAGTGTATTGAATAATTAAAATTTATTTTAAACGTAAATCTCATCATTTTTTATTTATTTATTTATTTTTTTATTGTGTAAATCTCATCATAATTGTGTTTAATTCCAACCATCAATTACAATTTTTTGTAAACTATTCTGCAATCCATTTTGTGTTACTAGTACTACTGTTTTTCTTAAATGTACAGGATTTTAAAAAGTGTGGAGTGAAATTTAAAATATGTATTTAAAAACTCATTTTCTCCTTCCTCTTCCTTCTACCAAATGATGAAATTGCCATCCATACCTCCCTCTTCTGTTATGGCCCCATTTTGGTTGAACAATTTAAAATCACCCCCAAAAAATTTTAGAAATTAAACAATAAGATTTTAAATTTGAAATAGAAATTTGTTGATGTCTTTTTCACAACCATTAATTGTGTAATGGATATCTCCCTTATTTTGGTAATAGAGACAATTTTGATCACATTTTTATTAACACTACAGGAAAAGGGGGATTTGGTGGCGTTTTTTTAACAACGTTTTTTTAAACGTCACTGTTATTAGTATTTAACGGCATTTTATAAAACGCCACATATTCTATTAAACAAAACGACACCGTGTTACAATGGGAGGCGTTGAAAAATGCCTCCGAATGCGGTAGCCACACACGCCTCTTTTTTTTTTTGGAACAAGAACACGCGCCTCCGAAACCTTATTTTGAATTAGAGCTATCATACGCACAGATCGATATCTCTCTCAACCCTTAATCCATACGCACAGATCGATCTCTCTCTCTCTTTCTCTCTCTCAACCCTCTCTAAGCGCCGTCGAAGATTCAGATCGATTCAGATCGAAGCGATTTCGAAGCTCCATCGAAGTTTCAGATCTAAGCCTCATTGAAGATTCAGATCGAAGCTCCATGGACATGATTTCGAAGCTCCATTGAAGCGAGTTCAAAGATTCAAATCTGAACTCTGACCCCTTGATTATTCGCATTTCAACCTCCATTGAATAGTCTGCTTTGTTTTTGAACTGTAATCGGTACTCTCTCTCTCTGTCTCGCTCTATTTGTGTCTTTGGGAAAAATGAAGAATTACTGTATTGGCATCAGACACTAGTTATTTCATTACTTTTTTTAGAAGAAGAAACTATGGAGAATGAGATATTAATTCTATTTTTCTATTAGTCAATTCAATTTTGATGATATTACTCTCTGTTGGAAAATTTCCAGCTCACATTCTTTTGCATATGTTTAATGCTATATATCATATATATTCTTTTGAGCATAGGTTTAATGCTATATTCTTTGAATCTGCATTGAAAAAAGTGGATGAAACATGCATACCATTTTGTTTGAGCTTCCTCTTCAACAGATAGCAAAGAAAGAATATTGAAATTAGCAGAGTCGGGGAAATGATAACTGCTATGATCACCCACAATTTTCTTCTGTTCCCTGAATTCGTAAGAATATAATTATGATGAGTCTATCGTGTGTTTTTAAGATCTAAATAAGGAAGGAAAAAAAAAGAGTACCCTATTACATATACTCATTACCTCCAGCAGATGAAAGCTCAGAAGCAGCAAGCTTCAGATGGAAACCTTGATTAGCAGTGTTCCCATCTGAGATTTGTAAGTTCAACAAAGCTCCTTCCAATATAGAACACCTGCCGGCATTATACGCATAGGCTGTGCAGGAACAATTCTGCTGGCAACCTGATTCACACCATTGAGAACTCGGACCAATATATTCTTTTGAGCTTGCTGGAAATTTCACATTTGAAATTTTTACGAGCATATCATTTTTCTTGCTAACATTGCTTTCCAACTGCATAAGGATTTTCCTTACGCAACCACCTGACTAGTCATCTAGTAGCGTTGCTTCGATTGAAAGTGGTTTAAAACCCTGCAAACAAGTGCAATGGGTCGAGAAATTCTCATTGAAGATACCAAACGCCCCACAATAAGCATAAACCTCAGATAGTTTACTCGGTTGAGTCAGTAATATTTGCCAATCCCGAAACCCCGTCTAGCCATGCTAGCTGGCTAACCTGTCCTGATTGTTCCATCACAAATCTTGATAGCATAGCACTGTTCTTAAGACAGTAGGTAAAATAGCACAATACAGAGAGCTAGACAATCTTCTCACATGAGTGTACCTGGCATACTTTAAAAGTTATGAACAGATAAATTAATCAGAGAGCTAGACAATCTTCTCACATGAGTCTTGTATTTTTA